AATAATAATAATAATAATAACATTTTACCTCCAAACAAACATTAGGTGGACACCTCTTAATTTGTCCAAACATGGGATTAAATCGAAATTAAAGATGTTTCTACTGAAAATTGTCTCTATTCACAGCGTCGTTACAAGTGACGCGGGGTCGGGGTGTGGTAAAAGTGGGGTGGGGGTTCCTATCTCTTCTAGTATAAATATTGGTTGTGAAATGCGTTTCATTTGGTATGATCATTTATTCATTTTTATTCTTTCTTCTCACTTTTTCCAGGCCCCTTTTTCCCTCATTTCTGCTGAGGTGAGATCATTGGGCTCCCACGATTTCTGCTCATATATGCACACGTATATGTATTTATATAATATACACATACATACATTACATAATTGCATTTGCATTGTATTGTTTGTTGATTGAGTTTTATTTTTTTGCAATTAAATTTTTTTCTGTCGGTTGTGTGATTTTAGAAAGAGTTCATTAACAATATCGGTTCAATGGGAAGGCTATTTGTGATCAATCTTGAAGGGAGAATGTATACTTGCAAGCACTGCCAAACCCATCTTGCTGTTTATTCTGATCTCATCTCCAAGGTTTTTTCTCCTTAATTTCTCTTTTTGCGTTTTTATAGTTTATATATGCTTATATATCTATATAGATATGTATATTTTTTAGTATTTCGAATTTGGGTTGTGATAAATTTTGATTGTCCGTGTTCTTGGTGGTGAAAATTAATATGGGAATTAAAAGATAATGGCATGGAATAAACTGGAAATTTAATATTCATATGGGCATGCTTGGTTGGAAGAATCGAATAGTAAGGTGCAAAATAAGCTAAATTGTTGTTTGTTGTGCAGTCGAGTACACAGTGCTAGGTACCAAAGATGTCCTTAATGTGTATTACAAGAAAGATAAATATAGAGGGGATTTCTTTTGCCTGTCATGAAATGAGTTGATCTCGTGCTTGTTTGATAGTACTTTTAAGTGCTTATGAGTAATGGATCCTATGGAATGTGTGAATAATAAGTGGGTAGTAAGATGTGGACAAAATGTGTGGATAAAAAGTATGTTTAATTGGCTTAATTGAAATTGTGTTTTGGCTGAAATTGAAGTTGATTGGTGAGTTGAAGTATTTGTTTCACATCTAGAGGAATTTGGAGAGGCTTTTCAGCTCTGCAATCTTTTATGCATAGAATTCAATTAGTTATGTTTGGTGACATAGACTTTGGGTCTCGGAAATCAAACAATAAAGATTTGACTTGAGTTTCAGATTTGTTATTGTTGGAGTCATAATTTGAGGGCATATTTTTGAAATAGGGTTAAATGTTAATTCTCTTTTGATCTGAAGGAGATTATTACACTTTAAGTTTGAAATTTTATAATTGGGACTTAGTGACCTGTGGCCATGTGCAACATGTGCGTCTAACTGTAGAAATATATATTTTTTTCTTCTTCCTGTACATATGACTCTACGTTGAGATGGAAAAAGACTAAATAATCTATTCGCAAATTGAAATTTGGTTAATTTGTCGTTTACATCATGGAAACATCTTTCTTGCGATGAATAGTTGATACATTTGGAATAGAAACCATTAAAGAACTTTAATATTGTAGTGTCTGGAGGGGTATTGGTTATGTTATAGCTTTATATAATACGTAAGTATTAGATACACGTATGATGTAGATATTCCATTTGTAGGCATCTAAAACTAGTTTGTCATGCCCAAGTTTGTGAATCTTACATCGCAGCATATGACACTTTTTAATATGTATGCGGTAGTCTAGTAGGCATCTGGCACTCGTTTTTACAATTTATGGAAAGTTATTAGTCATGTATGGAAGCAATTTATTATAATTTGTTTGAAGTAGAGGATGGTTTATGGTAATCATCTTATCTTTTTATGCTGCTTTTCATGGATGTTATAGGAAATTGCCAACTTACATTTTCACACATTAAGAAAGAATGAAGAATATGCAAGTCATAAATTAATATGAAATCACCATTCATGTAATATTAGAAGAATTATTATATATTGCACAATTGGACATGCAAATTAAAAGCATTTGTTTTTTATGCCTAAATTCTATGCATATTATTCTATGGAGAAAGAAGGACATGATTGCCTGTGAGGTTTTGCACTCTTAGTAGTGGAGCTGATATTTGGAATCTTTTCACCTTCAAGAAATGGAAATAACTAGGAAGATTTTTCAAACGTGTCAATTCTTCCAACTTGTTAATGGCATGATTGTTGGCTTTATTTTGAGCAACTTATCTTGGCTAGATTACACGTTCTTATATAGCTGCTTTTGCCTGGCTGCATGTTTAGATTTTATTGGATTTTTTTCTTTATCAGTCGAGTTTTTTCTTTTATGTTCTAAATGTACGTCTGTCATTATATCAACATTTTCTCTTATGGTGAACTAATATTGCATTAGGGTATCTTCTCAAATTTTTCATGATTTTTCTATAATTTTACTGACGATTGGATATTTTTCTTTGGAAATAATCCTTTTTCCTTATGAATATATTTTAAAACTGTAGAGGGCATGACATTTTGGATTTATGGTTTAACACATCCAAGGCACTTGAGAAGCCTGGTTCTCTCCCTACTGACTTAACAAACTACTGAATGAATGACCATCCAAGATCCCCCTTATTACATTTATAGACATTCTACTATACTTCTATTCCCCTTTTACCCCTTTGCTAACTAACTAGGTGGAACATTCTAGAATATCGAATGAATTGGCTTCCTCAAAATTGATTGTATCCTTGCAATCTCATTGGAGATCTATCAGCTATCTCTTACACTTGCAATAGTCGGAAACTCTAGCAGCTTATTTCGGCTGTATTATCCAATTATGTTTTCTATGTCTATATTTGCCTAATGGTTCCAAGGATTGATGTACATGCACGATTCGATTTCTAACAAAATCTTTTATCCATTCTCTAGTCTTTCCACTGCAGGACTGGAAAGGCTTATCTCTTTGATAAGGTGTAAGTATTCTTTGATTACCATTTTTCATATTCGATAATGTTAATTCGTGGAGTTCCTGCATAAATATGAATGCTTTTATGTCAATACTAAATACTAATAGTATGCGGTTTTGTATGTTTTGCTAGTTAAAATGCTTATTGTTAACTTAGTCACAAGCTTTTTCTTTGTTGATTGAGAATGCCGTTCATCAATAGAAGTAGCAGTCACCGTACCCTTGTTATATTACTTACTTTTGAAAAAAGCGAACTTTTTCTACTTGAATAAGAAAAAAACTTATCCAACATGCTTGCAAATAAAAAAACTACTTTCAATGAACTTTTACTTATATTTATGCTTAGCTAAACCTGCTTTATGATGACTTTCAATGCCTCCTGGCACTCACTTGTAATTACAAGTGTTGTTGTATAATTTCCTTCTTAATAGTACGCCTAATATCTTGCTCTGCGATAACAGTGTGAATGTGACCACTGGGGAGAAAGAAGAGAGGATGATGATGACTGGAGTGCACACTGTTGTTGACACGTTTTGTGTGCGGTGTGGCTCACTTGTTGGATGGAGATACGTGAGATCTTGTTCAAAAACTTGAAGGCCTATACTTTGTTTCTTATTCTTGTTATGTTGCGTTCTCATAGCTCATATCTATCCTACTTATTGACAGGAAACTGCTCATGAAAAAAGCCAGAAGTACAAGGAAGGAAGATTTATCCTTGAGAGGTACATTAGAGCATATTTAGTACACACTACTAGACACTACATTGAATAATGCTTTTAACTTTTTTTCCTTGGTATCTATAAATCTCTTAATGAGGACCTAAAGATTCATAGTGAACTTCAATGGAATTTCTCTTGAAGCAATTCTAGGATTTGAATTGATATCCTATCCTTTCCTTGATTCATCCTAAATTGCATTGATTTATCCTAAAGATTTCATTTCAATTGGAATTTTTTGGTATTGAGTAGATTTAAGGTGTTGGGACCGGATGGAAGTGCGTATTCAATGGGTCACGAAGATCATATATCTGGAAGTGAAGTTGATGAAGTTTGACCTTTTTTGGCATTTTCGTGATCAATTAGCTCTTTTCAAATTGTTCAACTTTGCCTTAGCCTTTGGTTATATCTCTGGTTATCCTCAGTGAATTAAAGACAGCTTTGCAGGACGATTTATAATGTTGATCATTTCTAGAGTCTAAATAAAATGTGTATTGAAAATTCAGATCTTATACCACTCCTTCCGAATGCTATCTGTTGTAGGATTCTTGATTAGAATTGCATTAGTAGTTTATGCTATATTTAGCATGTAGGACTAGACTCGAGTCACAATCGACATGTTTTATTTCATATTTCTCTTTGTTCGACATAATAAGCTAGTTGGTATTTGTCAATACAAAATTGGGAAAATTCATAATTAAGTGGTTAAGTATTACCAATTTCAAAATTAAGAATAAGGGTTTCAAATTTCAAAAATCTGATATTTATTAAAATTTGTTTATAATTTAATTAGTTAATTATATATTTTTAATTAAATATATTAAGGTCACATATCAATACAATTTGGTCACAAATTAACGTTAGTCACATATTATTTTTCGGTCACAAATCAAAATTTTTTATGTCACAGATTATTTTATGATCATAGTTCAAAATTTTTATAAATCATAATTTGTTCATCAGTCACAAATTAAAAACTTATAAGTCATCATTTATTTATAGAGAATCTATCTGAAGCCAACTAGATGCACGTACATTATTAAATTAGCCCAAGTGTAAATCGAGTCATAAGCTTTGAAGAGTGGAGCCTTAAATCTTTGGCGTAGGTGAAAGGGTTGCTAAAAGGATAATTTGAAGACCCCTATCATCTATCAAAGATCTTTTTCTATATTAATGATGATTTTTCTGATGAATCGACTAACTTAAAACTCTAGCTGGTTAAGACAGTCGATTCATCTTGGTGTGACTGACTATGAAATATATTCATTCCCAAGAATGTATAATTGAAGAATGCTAAAATCCCACTCGTAAGACACTTGAAAAATAAGTAATTGTGGCTTTGAATAAATTTTTTATGCATTTGAAAATGATATGAATAATATCCTATGAAAGGTTTGTTAATAATGGGAGAAATGGAACTCTTTCAATTCAAATTGGCCATAAGTACAAATTGCATATGTCAAAATCATGTTGGGAAAAAAAAAAAGATCGATTATTATGTCTTTAACATTAAATATTACTTATGCATTTCATTTTTATCTAGAGTAAGACAATTTTAAGTGGGTTATTCAAGTTTATTTTTGTCACAATGGTTGATTTCATAAATCAAGTCATTTCATTCAACCTTATTAACTCGACAAATGGGCATACTAGCGTGATAATTAATAGTTCATTTTTAGATCAAATATATTTATTTTGAGTAAGCGTCAAACATATCATCGAAGAAAATTTCCTGAAGATAATAAAAAAATAATAATTAAGTAAATAAATTTATATAAATAATTAAATAGTTTATTAATAAAGCATATTAGTATTAGAATTAGAAAGAATTAAGGGTTTAGGGTTTAGAGAGGTGACACGGACTGGAACTGCAAAAGTTTCAGGGTAAATTTCATCGAAGGTCCACAGTCTTTGTAAATGTGTCAATTGTGTCCATGACCTATTATTTATTGCACTTATGCTTTCAAACTTTGTCCTCATCTAACATAAAAGTTCGTTTGAACGTTAAATGGTCACGTGACATTCACGCATTGAGATGGCTTGAAGCAAGGAGCTACGTTTAATTAATATTTTCGAATTTCTAAATGAAAGTTGTAATTATTGTTTGAAATGCTTTGAAATAAAAGAAATATTTTTGGACAATTTTAACCCTTTCGATCAGACATTATGTGACATCATGCGACCATTTAATGTTCAAATATATGTTTTCAATTAATTGTGGATATGGGTTCACAATTTTAAAAGGTCAAGGATGAATGCAACAAATGATAGAGTAGGGACATGAGTGCAATCCTTACGAGGAAAAAAAAAACGTAATTACTATAATTTCAAGATACACTTTCAAACCACATAATAAAATTTTTAATGACGCATTAATTAATTAAGCCCCCATTTGATTCCCATTATTTGTCCATTAAAATGAAAAATATGATCGTTATCCATCACATTAAACCAACATATTTGACTTTCTATCTCTTGCGAGGGACCCGTAACGGCTATATTTTTCATTCTCATTTTTACATTAATGTATATCAAACAAATGAAAGCCCAAGAACAACTAACCAAGAGGGGGGTGAATTGGTTATTTGATACTTTTTCGAAAATTAACGCAAATTTAAGCAAATAACTATGAATAAACAAGATAACATAAAAGTAATGTAAGGAAGGGAAAAGAGAGTGTAAACGATGTAAGAAGGAGGTTCGATCCAATCACGATCTACGTCCCCCGTTACCAAGCCCTGGGTCACGAGCAAGGCCTTTTTCACTATATTTGATTGACTTATGGTGCAATCCAACCTTTACAAAACTTCCGGTAACTTACAATCAATGAGCACCGATCCTTTTACACCGTTGAAATTTTCGGAACCTTAACACGGCCCACAATCCAAAAATAAGAGAATTGAAATTACAAGTAAAAAACTTCTCTCTTAATAAATGATATAGACTTAGTTTGAATATAAGAGAGAGGTAGGTAAACACTTTAATTGATAACAAAGAAGGTAGTTCAAGTGTTTTGATTGAAAAACTTTAGTTGAGATAAATGATTTTTCAATTTTTGATCACTCAAAAAGTTTTTTAATAAATGAATGATTTGATCTTTAAAAGAGTGAAAAATAAGGTTAAGAGAATCAATAAAATACTTCACTTAATACTCATGAATAGTTGTTTTGAATAGTGAAGAGAAAATGGTACTAATAACTCTCAAATATCTTCCTAACAGTCAAGAGTCTGTCCCCACCGGACAAGTGTACCGAACCGTCCAGTACGTACCGGACAAAGCTACTAGCCGTTGGTGAGATAGATGTCAGAACGTTAAAAATTTTAACCGTTGGGCAAAGACCTTTACCGGATCGTTCGGTACACTACCGGACCGTCCGGTAGCTAAAAAAAAAAAAATAGATTTTGCCTTGAATGATTTTATTTTGAGCTCTCGAGACTTTTTTGTTAAATATTAAAATGTTATACCTTTACATGTAAATTTAAGAGTTCTAATATAGTTTTCTTCAATATGCTCGATCATCAAAGTTTATGACTTCGATCTTGATTCCTCTGGACATTGACATTCGTTTCGTTCTTCATGAGTTCATTTATCTTTTCCTATGCATGAATCTTCATTTTGATGCGATGGTCGATTTGATTTCAACTATCATGATTCAAAAGTTGGTTTGTTAGAACCAAAATTAAATCTTATTTGTTATAATCAAAACATAGACGGAAGTTCATATATTGAAGATATTTTCCCTTAATCATACACATTATCCATAATCAACTATTACACTATTAATTCCATTTGGCATATATCCACATATCATATTTTTACATAATCATCCACATATCACTTCAAGTCAACCATTGAATGCAAGAACATAGAATCAAAATAGATTTGTCTAATAACAATGCATGAAGCCCAAAAACAGTTAGAGAAGCATAGTAGTGCAATGTTCAAAGGGAAAGCATAAAGACAAGCATTATAAATGAAGGTGAGTGAACTATGGTGCCGGAGGGAATCTAGAGTAGAAATCGGCAAAAAGGCAGTTTGTTGTGCCTGAAACTGGAGAAGTAAACTTCCAAAACTGTCGATGGTGGAAGTGAGAGAGTCAATACGGCCATTGAGGATGTTAAATTGATCTTCGATCATGATATTTCCTCTACTTGATGCTTGAGGGCCACTCAAGCTCGGAATGTCGGAAGGAGGGATTGGAGCATCGTCGGAATCATCCTCATCATCGCCTTCAAAAGCTAAAGTGGATCGACCCGAGGTACAATCGAACCCCTTTGTGTGTGCTACCCATTGACCATTTTCCTTTATGATTCACATTCTTGCAAGTATTTTGATGTTAATGGTATCGGTTGGATGTAATTTGACAAAAGGCTCATTGTCCAACGGCACATGAAAGTGTTTGAAAATTTTGGTTAAAAGCATACCGTATGGAAGAGCTTTGATTTTTCGAAAGGTATGCACGCGTTTTATAGTTCCAATAACCAAAGTGGGAAAATCTAATTTTTGATTCACAAGAAAAGACTCGAGAATAAATAGGTCGAGGAAATTGACTTCATCCCGATGTCCTTTTCGAGGAAGTATGACATGGGCGATAATGTGTTGTAAAACCTTGCAAGGTAAACTTAAGTGATGTGCACTAATTTTATTGATATTTTCAAAATCTTTTTCGATAACACGTCGACAAGCATCACTCGGATTATAACCCTCTATTGACGGATGTGCCTTATGATGATAAATTTGTGTTTCACACATGTCAAACTTAAGAATTTCACGAATGAGTGTTTTGGAAATAGTGATACGCACAATGTTAAGAAAACACGTAATTGTGCCCAACCGAATAACCATTAAGTGATAAAATTCTCTCATTAACCTACGATGTGTGTGCTCTTTCATCTCGACTACATTGGTTCAACCCATGTGTTCTAAGAAATCCTCAATGTGAAACGCAGGTGCTAATAGTGTAAAATCAGAGAGATCCACATTTTTACCTATGAGAATGGGAGATTTCTCAAATGGGTTCATAGGTACGTCGGGTTCCTCATCCATTTCTTCATCGAAGGAGCTTGGTGGAGGATGCATAGTAGTTCTTTTGGGGCGATTTGCTGCTCTTTTCACTTTTGGCATGGTGGAAAATGTGAAAAATTGATGAAGAAAAGCTAGGGTTCGAACTTATGTGATTTGGGGATTTTGGCAAATGATTGCTTGAGATTTCGAGTAATAGTGAGTGTAGAGGTTGTGGGTAAGAGAGATTTCTAAGAATTTAGCAAAAGGAATATGTTATAAGATGAAGGAGGAAGATATTGAGGGAGAGAAATTCAAAAATGAGGAGGAAGATGATTGGTTCAGTTTAAAAAATGATTTCCCATTGTACCGGACAGTCCGATACATCTTACCGGACGGTCCAATATGGCGGAGAATTCTCTGTCAACTATGGACTAATGTACCGAATAGTCCGTTGGGCTTGTTCGGTACTTACCAGACGGTCCATTTTGGTTGTCCGATAATTTTTAT